ACCCTAAACCCTAAACCGTGCTTGTGTGGCTTCCAGCCACCAGTGGTGGGCCATTACCTGTTCAGAGACTACGCAAGGTGGCCGGTATTTGTGAGGAGGGATGATCTTGAGTCCTCGAACCGTGAAGCACTAGGCTTTTCAGGAGTTTAGCCGGACCAAACTTCATACCATGTCCATGGCCCCTGCGTCCAAGAACCAAGCCGCAATAAGAACCGTGAACAGGGCAACCTGAAACCGAAACCGCTGCAAGCCTGGGCAAGACGGCCCCAAAATTCAACGGCAACAAATGGCCCGCTCGCCCAAGTCCAAGACCTTAAAGGCCAGCCTGAAGCCTGAAAACTCCCCAAACCCCAAACGGCACAACCTGAACCTCGAAGCCTAGACCCGAAACCCCAGAAGTTTACATGCAACACCCGAAAAGCTACTCCCTAATCCCCGGCCCCAGCCCTCTTCGAAAGCTCTCCATGACACTCTTTCCCTCATGCTGAGCAAAACGGCGCAGCGGCCGTGTATGCTGCACGTATCATGCGCCTACCATATTGCGTATCCCTGTTTGACGGAACCCTCATACGAACCCAGGTTGGGGATCCTGGGGTTGCATCTCGATCTTTCTGCCATTGGAGTTCATGGGTCGGGATCTGAAAGTGCAGGCACTTGGTGAGGGGCGCTTGGCAACTCTCTGCCAGTCGAAACGCAGCAGCTTTAGTCATGTGTGCAGATATGCAGAATCCGCATCGCCCTGCTTTTGCGCTCAGAGCTGTCAGATCCTGGCCCGATCGAACGGAACTGTGCATCGCCGGGTTCTAGCAGAACCCCAACGTAGCTACAGCTCTCATGGCCACTAGACAACTAGACAGATGTATAGCACCGCCGTTTTTCAAGTCCAAAAGGCCCCAAATCTCTCTACACTGCCCTAAGCCTAACAACTTGATCTTGTCGGGCTCCTTCGGGGCTCTTGGAATGACCTAACAACGGATTTTGCATTTGCAAGGTCCTCCGGGGCCTACCGCCCCGTTTGCACAAGGACCAAGGAGCTTGCGTGAACTTGCGCGCAGTTTTTGCCTTCACGGATGAAACGCACAGGTGGCTGAAGACCGCAAAGGCAGGACATGCAAACGAAACTACAGGAAGTAGTTGCAGAAGGCCGGCGAGATGCCTTGTAAAGATGCCTCAGATGGCAGTTTTCATACGTCCCCCCCCCACACACACACATACCAAATCTAACGGCCGGGCAACTACAGCAACTACTACCTTGTCATTGGATGCTGGAGGGGAATTGCCTTGGCGATTTCCGATATGGCGATCATACTTTGCAGGTTAAGTCGCGGCTGATGGCCTACATATCGGACTCTTATCGGAAATCCCAAATACGTCTTTGTCCTTTCGTCACATTCACATGGCATAAGCCAGGCGAATGAACCTCAACAGCAATCCGACAACCTAGAATCTGTAATTGGGTGTATGCATTCCCCCAGGCAGCTACGTCGGTGCGTCAAAGTCAAAGACATCTCCTGAAACGGCTTGGCAAATCTCTGAAAACAAACTCCGTGCCGTGGGGGGAAGCACGCCCAGGCTTGCCTGCTCAGCGCTGTAAAGTCTGTACCGCTGGGTCGGCCATGTGCACGTCTGGGTCTGGGGGGTTGCTCTACAAACGGGTTCCCTTAGACTTGGTATGCCCCGGAAAGAGCGGGAGCCCTTCAGAAGGACACCCCAAAAGAGAGGCCCCGTTTGTGAAACAGACACACCTGCTCTTCATGTGCACACATGTGACAGTGGTCCCTGCGAGCAGTCACGGCTTCTCGAAGCCGCCAAAGCTGACAGGGCTCGGTACCTTCACATACCCTCATCATGCACTGGAGCTCTGAAGACACCTTACACTGCACCAAGGCCTGGTGTGTTCTTGTGAGAAATCCTGCAGCGCGGGAACGATGTGAAAATCAGTGCTTTCAGGCTCCAGGCGCAGCGGGAACGAATTAACCCAAGCGGCAAAAAGCCGACGGGGCAAAAATGCTCTGAGAGCTCTCCAAATAAGACACCGCAGGAATCCCAAGCCTTCCGCTTTTCCACCGGACGACTCGAGACCGCTGGGAAGACCTATCTATGCTGGAGTTTGGAGGAAGGCGCCCGGCTCCGGCGTACATCTCAACCTGCAGCAGGAGGGCTGCCGCTTGCCGCTTCGTTTCGTTTGCGGAGAAGCACTCGGTTGTCTACAGACGATCAAATCCTCGACGGTAAGGACAATCCACATGTCGCGGCAAACCACACCGTGTAGAACATAAAGACCCCTGCACCACGGACCCAACCCAAAAAGCTTCCTTGCCACAACCCGAGTCAGCTGCTGATTCTCGCAGCTATGGCCTTGATCTAGGCCCCCACCCCCATGTAGCGGAGGCAGACGTAGCCGGATGCCTGTGGTTCCCACTTAAGGACTTTGGAGGAAATAAGGCGAGAGAAGAGGCACTTTCCGAAATGTGAAATGTGCGGGGAAGCCTTGCTAGACATGCGAGCACCCTCGAGTAGCGAGAGATCTGCAAGAACTGAATGCTGTGGTCCCGCCGAGCCGCTGACTTGACTCTGGCCTGAACCTCCTTTTGAAATCTGTTGCAACTGTGCGGAAGCTACCCAGAGTTGGCTCTTCTGGAACGTACAGAGGTCGTGGCGTCTGTAAAGCTACGCTGTACCGGTAGTTATCACAGTTACAGCATTGGCATTTCTCATGTTCTGAGCGTGCAGCCCCCGAGCTGTGGAAGCTCTCGCAGGGGCTCTTGACTCTGAGGGGACCGCGGCACGATCAGAAAGAGGTAAGTATAATTTAATCATTGTCACAGCAAGCGCGACAGTCCATTTTAGTCTAAGTCCTACGTAATACAGCGTAATACTAGATTGGTAGTAGTTTAGACACCCCACATTCCAAGCGGTCCAAGCTTGAGCCGGGCGCCTCTCGGGAGGCCTCGATCCCCTCTGCACGGGTCCAAATCTCGCAGCGGCCGCCGGTGTGGTACTCGAGGCCCTGACCTCAAAGAACTTCACACAAACCACCTTGTTTGGGAGTTCGGGCTTCAGATGGCATGGAAGGACTACGAGGCTTTACTTGTAGTCCGCGGGGCTAGAGACTTACTGTAGGGCTCTACATGGCTGTAGGCTTCGAGGGACCATGATTGTAGAATGAAGCACAGGGACGTTGCTGAACCTGGGCAAATCTGTCTTCCGGTGGTTCCCAAATTACTGCATTTTCGGCTTCGCAGCGCTTCGCCAAAGTGTGAGAGTTCTGATTCCGTGTCACCGGTGCGTCCTCAAGAGAGTGTTGAATCATGACAACAGCATGAAGAACTCGGCAGTTCCAGTGAAGTTTGGACTTCACAATTGCCAAAAACGACACCTTGAGACGACGTCTACGTTGCGGGAAAGCAAACTTCACCGCACTATCCAAAAGTATCCAAAGTGAGTGCTGGTCTCCGACAAAGTGGCAGACTTCTGCCTCCATGCACTTGAACTTGCATCCTTCCAAAGAGCTGGCCTGCAAGGCACGACAGAGCACAGGAGCGAAGAGAACTGCGTCGGAACATGCTTATGCGACCTGTCCGTTCGGTGCCTGCTCGACCGTGAAGTAGCTGGCCCGGTTGTCGTTTGGATGGCCGCCCCGGCAGACGCGGCCCTCGCCCCCGTCGACGGCCTCAAAGATGCCCTCCGGAGTCGGCATGCCTTAGTCTCTGCACTGGGACTCCGACTCGCTCGGTCTTGCACGCTTATCCCGTTCTCCGCATGCCGGATTGCTGTAACTAAGGCAGGTGTAGTTCACGAGCGTGATAGAGGCATGGATTCCCTCCGGCCGCGTCCAGATTTCGCAGCGGCCACGTACCTTTGCCGCAAGCATACCGCTCTGTCAGAAACCAAAGGGACCGCAAAGCAAGCCTGAGCCTGAGGAAGCACATCACTTGCAAAACGATGCAGGGAAGATGGGAAACATTGTGAAATGCCAAGCAGCGTGATATTCGATACCCGTGCAACCATCGGTGGACATGCACTGCGACTGGCAGCCCTGGCTTCGCAGGAGCTACAAGTTGAACATCCGATCGTGCCGCTGAGTCTCTAGACAATGGCAGATCCTGCATGTATCCTGTTGAAGCAAGCTCGCGAGCCTCCAGGGTGTCATCATTGCTGACCTCGCAGCATGCACGTCTTTGCAAAGCTAAGTAAACAGAGAGGCATCGTCGTCACCACAGAATGACTGACTCCGGCAATCTCATGCCTGAAAATAGTCAGCCGAATTGTCGCCAGGGGAGGCCCCGCGGCAGGCGCGGTTCTGCCCTCGGCATGGCATGGGTCTGCATGGCTCTTGAACTGTCCCGAACACATCCCCAGTTTCAGCCTCCATCCACAGGGCGAAATGTACGCGAAGAGCTGGAAGCTGTTGTGGTCGTTGTCGTCACCATCGCCGTCGTTGTGGTCGTTGTCGTCATCATCGTGGTCGTTGTGGTCGTCGTTGTTGTGGTCGTAGTCGTTGTAGTTGTGGGCATTGTCGTTGTAGTCGTTGTTGATGTTGTGGTGACAGGGCCTGTGATGGACAGTAAGGAAGCCCCGAGCCTATGGCACATGCAGGCCACATCACACGTAACTTGGCCACAAGTATGGCATATTATAGCTTTCTGAAAAGAGGAAACACCCTTCTTGCTCACGCTCACGCTGCGCACCTGTATAGCGGAGGCAAGTGTAGCCCGAAAGAGACTTCGTGGCGCCGATGCCGCCGGCGCGGGTCCAGACTTCGCACTTGCGGGAGCCCTCAGAGGGAAGCACACTTCTAGACCAGGGCACACGGGATGCTACGGCGGCGGGTTCACGGGACTTCTAGAGACAAGCAGTGACGGTTGAACACGGCTGCGCTGCAGATCTCAAGTTGGCTCCGAGGGTCATACTCAATGCCCTTGCAGCCGTCGGTGCCGATGCACAGCTGCTTGCACTCATCGATAGAGTCAATGCCGTTGTGAAAGATGTAATAGCCTCAGATTGAGCTGGTGACATCGCATGCCAAAGCATACCGGAATGATTCAGGGAAGCTCGTGCCAGGCCAACTCTCAGGCAAAAACAAGGCTTCTTCTGCTGACAAATGCTGCATATGCCTGCTAAGGATCTCTCGTCATTGTCGTTGGAGCTGGCGCCGCGGCAAACGACATTCTGACCTTGGTTGTCGGCATCGTATTGATATTCCAAAAATTGTGGAAGTTCGGCCCGCTAACAAACATGAACCGGAATCCCTGATTCAGCCGCCACCTGCCTCCGTCCACCGGAACGAAGCTCCCTGCCGCAGCCTTGGAACAAGTCTCTGGTGAGCAGAGGCCAAAAGATCAGACGACTAGAAGAGCTTCGAGGACCCAGCCGTCATCGTTGTGGTGGTCGTAGTCGTCACTGCAACAGTCGTAGTTGCTGTTGTCGCCTCCGATGTCGTCATAGGCATCGTAGTGGCTGCCGTCGTAGTGGCAGTGGCACCTGCGGCAGTTCGCGGCGACATTGCACGAAAGGATTGGGAACATTTCGGGGCCTGGTGTGCTTGTAGTCGCAGGCTGCGTGGTTTGCCCCAAGATGTTGCAGCTCCTTAGCTCTGGGGGAGCGGCGCGGCTTTCCAACTCTCGGCTCTTCGAGTTGCCTTTCTTGCCGGGATGCCACGGAGTCTGATACTGTGGTGCGTCATTCGGGTTGATACCTGCAGAACGAGGCTGCCATTGATTTGTACGGGTAAGATGTGGACGGATGGCAGAGACTCCATCAGAGCAGATCGGGGAGAGGTGCAAGACTCTTCCCTCAACCCCAGTTTTGACAGAGACCACCTAGCCAAGGCGCATGCAACGGCTGAAAGGGTTGGAGTCTCGGGATAGGCGTTGAGGGCTGCAGCGATTCGAATGAACGTCGAGACACGTACTCGATGTTGGAAGCAGCGTCTGTTTACAGAATCATGATGGTAGTGATACGGAAAGGCTTCATCACCGTAAAGATAAGGAGCAACGATTGCAAGGTGCAAGACGCAAGAGAAAAAATTGCATGCTGCTGGCTTGGGCAGTCCACCGTGCAGCATCAGCTGCTGTTGCGCTCGTGTCTCGCATCTAAGGTCGTCCGTCTGCCTGTTGACTCGAATTGGAGCAGCCGGCTGCTGAGGCCCTTCTTGCGATCCAGTGGCAGTGGCGGCACTGGTAGAAGCAATCACAACTACGATAGTACTATCAAGAGACCTACCAGTCACAGCAATGAGCAATTACTGACTGCGGCTGTTGCACCTGCCACAATGTAGCAGAGCCCCAGTCAGGGCAGGAGCAGTCAGAATCAATGGGAACTGTGTTTGCCAGCCGAAGAGGTTAATTGAAGTCAGGAATACTACAGTCAGACGATAGCCGTTTATGCGTTGAGGGAAAGAGTCAGACTTCGCCAAGCAGCTCTATCCCGGCCTGGTGTGCAACTTTGTCGGCACTGTGCATAGTATTCGTCCTTCTCGTAGCATGTCCAGCCGTTAGACTTGCAGCAAAGGCTCCTTACACGGGCGAGCTGTGCAAGCTGTGTGGTCCGCGAAGCTTTAGTAGCAAAAGGACAGTTGCAAAGTCGGATGCATTTTGGATGTTGACATGGTTTCTCTCTACAGTGGTAGCTAGCTGGGTCCACGATCCGCATAGATCAGGCGAGCATCGTCTTGCAGCCTGTCACAAAAGCTTCGCTGCAAGCAGCACGATTCGGCTTTGCGGCTTGGAAGCTATGGGTAGTGACGGCTCATGTGTGGAGATAATGACAGCGGGAAGCATGCGGCTTGAGAATACTTGCGTGCAAGCAGGCTCACGAACGGCAGAGCTGCTGTCCGCTACACTTCAATACGTCCCCCCATCAGGCCTCCAAAATTGTCGCTGCAGCCACTCACATCTCTGGAAGTTGTCGGGACTTCAGTAGTGTGGGAATACCTCAAGGGCTCTCATGGGTATCCTCTCGCTCTCTCGTTCTCTCCCTGTGTGCTGAGGATAGACCCTGTGCGCCTCAACCTGAAGTACCCTGAAAAGCCCAGGCCGAGTTCAACAAGCTCCCAGACCGTAATCGTCGAGCTACCTGCCCTAAATGCTTCCAAACAGCTCGGTGGTCGATTGGAAAGGCGTGGTCGAAATGGTGCTTCCATCGAGTGGCCTAGCTGAGCTTTTGATATGGGAAGTCACCGCCGCTTGCGTTTCAAGCCTCTTCGTTTGGTTCCGACAAGGAAAGGAAGCGAAAGGACTCAGGCCTTCTTGGGGTCTCCAGGTTACAGGGTATCAGCGCTCTGAGCCAATTCTGGTTGCCCCCTTTTGGTTCTTATGCCTCGAGCAAAAATCGGGGCCAGGTAGCGCAGGCAGCTGCAGTGCACCAACACTTCCAGATCTGCTGCTCGAGATCTTGTATCGAAGGCCCTCAGCAACAGAGGAGGCTTCAAAGGTCCCGCATATTTGGGTTTCGGATTTGGGTCTAGGGGATGTAGGGCTTGACGTTTAAGGAGCCATTAAGCGTTCAGGACTTTGCTCTGGGTCACACTTTCGAACTCCTCTCCGCTTTGAGATTCAGGGAAGGAGCTTCCGCAGAGCAAAGCGCAGACTTGCTCCGAAGGCTTCTTTAAACCCTTACTCGCAAAGTCCTAGAACTTCTTAACCCCAAAACCCAAAACTAAAACCCGATACCTCAGGCCCTAAACAAGCCAGGGACAAGCGCCCTCCACACCTTGAGCCCTAAACCGGTTAAGCACCCTCCCTGCCTTGCCGGCGTAGTATCGGTGCGAGTTCAACAGCTGCTTGACACCCACGAACTCAAAGTAGCCATTGTCGGCCTGGGCATAAGTTTTGTTTACCGTGGGATACCAGCTAATTACATAAACTCCTCCAGTCACTCGAATCAAATCAAATCCGACACTGTGCACACACTCTTGCCACAGCTGGCGCACTCTCTTGGAAGCATGTCCGAATAAGGGATAAGCATGCCACGTTCAGGGCTTCGAAGGGCCCGCCGAGGGGCATAGACGAACTTCAGGAAGAGTCGGCCCAAGCCTTTCAGATGAGTCCGACGGGTCGCTGGGGTTGAGGATATTTTTAATATTTGACTGTAAGGGTTTAAGGTCCGAGTCGCCTGAGGGCCTACAGGGTTTGAGTCGTCGTGCATGCTGGGAAGTCTCACAAGTCCTGTCCCGTGCTTGTTCGTGCATGCGCTCTTTGAAGGGTCTGGGACACGTATCAGACATATCATTTTGATTTCATTCCACATGGCCCAACAGTTCTGCTTTAGTTCTTACGGGAATTCCCGAGTCTTCGAGAGGTGACGACTATCCGAGCATCAACAGCCGCTCCCAATCTTGCCCTCCCTTCGCGCACCGTCCACAAAGAACACGTTTCCGTCCGTGGAGTCCAGCACTTCCTGCAAGGAAGAACCTGAACAGGGTCATCAGCGTAGTGGCTTGCAGAGGCCGTGCGTGTCAGCCGTAAGCACCTGCGCTACTAAGCTTCTTAAAGCACTGACGACTCACGAGATTTGTGCGAGTGGCTTTGGAACCTGTTTCGCCCACAACACTACGAGCGACTGAACCAGTACGAGCAAGAAGTCCCAGAAAGCCGCTTGAACTGTTCTTCCTGTGCCGGTGAAGTTTTTTCTTCAAGCTTCACTTTAGGGACAACCGCTCCTCTAACGAGATAGACCGTCCGCCTCTTGGCATGTTGGCACAATTCGGCATGCATCGCTGGACGGTGATGGAGGCACCTCGGCAGATGCAGTGGGAGGCTACGCAATGTACTGTTTCGGTCACCCCCTGCCCTGGGCCGCCGGCCCATTGGATAGGCCGTGGCGAGAACCAAACCTGCTCCAGAAACATCTGAAAGCAGAGCATTGCTCAGTTCACGACGCGCCTTGTGGGGGGATCTGGTCCATGGTGATGGTGAGCTGAGGCTCGGCGCCTGGAGCTTTTCGGCTCAAGGGCAGCCCTGCGGTCGTCCCTGTCTTGGAGCTGGGCCGTTGTCCAAGGCCAGGAACCACCCGACATCGCAGCAGGGCCCGGTGACCTGAGAACTGTGGCTTCCGAGACCCTTGGTCGGGAGAGCCGCAGTGAAGCGCTGTCATTGGAGCAGTGGCATACTTCCGACATGCTGCCCCTGTCGTGTCTTTATCTGTGTCCACCAGGCAGTCCGTCGGGAGCCCCAAGTGCTGCGGAGTTTGCGTAAGTACCAAAGGAGTGGGATCCAGTGCTTGAACCATCACACTCATCTAAACCCTTCCCCGTCGTCCCTTGGGAGCTCAGAAAGGGCCTCGGGCCCGGCATGCGCTGCCCTCCCTTGTTTGGTGCAAGGGGCCATGGGGCTTTCGGCCAAGCCCAAGTCGACGTGGCGATCTTCGTCTGGGCACGTCGCCACACATTTCCGGACAGGAATCTCTCTCTGAAGGCGTTTGGAGCTTTTCATGACAATGATCTGATTAAACCCTCAAAAGCACACACATGAGCCCAGCGTCGGCCGAAGTGGTAAACCTTGCCCACCTCAGAAAGCGCTTGCTCTTCTTTGTTGCCTGATGAAACATGCACTTGGCGGATTGTGTAGAACCACACCGAGGCATCTTCTCCGTAGAAGGCACTTCCCGGCTTTTCCAGAAAGGGGCCCAAATAATTAGGCTGCGGTTTTGCAGGGTTTCATGCTACAAAACAATTTTTTCCCCTGAGGATTACCCTCGACTCTGGCCCTGCCGATCTGTGCCGCCCAGGTGCAGCGGTTCTGGAATCCGTGCGGTCCGGATACCTGTCCTGGAGGCCCTTCATGAAGAACAAGCTCGCGATCGCCCTTGGAAAGCTGAGGATTTTGGCTAAAAGCGAAATGGGGTCGGGTTTTTAGTCTGTCCAAGCAGTCCGAAAGGAATCGGAGCTTCCGGCAATCAGAGCACCCAAGATCTTCTCGAAATCGCAAAATCCTAAAACCCTGAAGCTCGCACAGAAGGATACAGAATTGACTGATGCTTCGCATCCCCTCAGTTCGACGGACGCTTTGTCACCCAGGGCCCGGGCCGATGGCCCTTCGTGGGGCAGATCCAGAAGCCCCAGTCAAAATTCCTTTGGCAGCCTTGAGGCACACGGGACAGGTGCAAAAAGCCAAGCACAGGAAGGATTGAGTGTACGCGCATCCTGCTGTTCTGGGCATGCAGCATAAACCACAACATCGGCGAGCTAGGAACCCCAGAAAGCGAAGCCACGACATGAAGGGGCATCCGCTGACCCTAGTCTCATGTGCTCATTCGTCGTGAGACTTCACTGTCACTGGATCGGCAAGACGGTTTGCTTAATCTGACTGTACGGTTGTTCGGTTGCTGTTGCTGATGTCTGTTGGGTGTGGCTTGTGACTTACTGCTTGGTTTTGTTGGCTTGTCGCCTGGTTTCTTATTTGCTGTCCGTTCTGCTTGTCTTCTGCTTGTTGGTCGGTCCCAGTCCCTAAGTTCGTGCTCCCACGTGTCTTCATGAGTTCCGGGCGTAACGCTTTTCCTGCCCCTTGTCCTCCATTCAACAGCTTTGCCGCAATAGGCCGGGATGCTGTCATCGATGCGCCACCAGTCATTCGTGCGGTAGTTCGTTTCTGAATCCTGCGTCGATGCTTTGCACTTGTGCCCAAGAGAAAGAACACCATGATATTGCAAGCACCGTCGGTGCTAAAGAGCCTAAGACCGCCAGAGTCCTCGTCATCTGCGCCGATGATGGCAGGCTCATTCCAACCGACCAAGGTCCCGTCGGTCTTGGCTTGGCGGCGAAACGCTTCGGCTGCAGAGACCCTCCGAAATTAGAGTGGGAAGCTTAAGGAAGACCACTGCAAATCCCTTCAAGCACTCATATCATCCTGAGCCGCATCAATCATATTGGCAACCTGCGAAGATCCAGCTGTCCCTGGACAGAAGTCGCAGCGGTTCTTGCAGGTGTCCTGATGGAACCTGGGCAGTCGAGGACTGGCGTGCTGGCGGAAACTGAATCTCTCCACTCCAGTGGCTTTACCTTCATGTTTGGGCAAGTGGCGATGTGCAGGCGTATCGTTCGACATGACCTCGATGCTTCAAGAACGCTGACTGCGCGTCGCAGAAGGATGTGTCTTCGATCTCAGGCTCCGGCGAAGGCGCTGCGCAAAGGGGGTGCCCTCGAAGTATTGGGCCCTCGTGTCAAACATTCCTGGAGAGCAACGCAGACCAGGCGTCTGATTCATAGTCCTACAGTCACTGCAGCAGCTGAAAGCCATGCGCATGGGATCCTGCAGGCTTGAAGATGTTGCTGTGAGTCATGTCCTCAGCTTTCACGTATACTCTTCCAAGTCAAGATGCTAGAAACTCGTCTTGCACGGGATTCCAGACTTGTGGGATGGAGACTGCGAAGCCACAGCTGGACGAACTGCGCCAGTCCCGAGCCAAGCTACCATGATGGCCACATCCCCGGGTCGGTCGAAGTTTCGCCATGTCACCTGAAACGCTCGGATGGTTGAAGTTATGTATATGGTATACATTTGATATATTTGGTTTCTGTTTGTGGCATACATACATACATACATACATACATACATACATACAAACAAACATACATACATACATACACACATTCATACATTCATTCATGCATTTACCTACGGTGCAAATGCATTTACCGTTTCAGATATGGAAAGTGTACTGGAAATCCTGAGAAATCAACACCAGGCAGGGGAGATTATTTGCGTGCTTCTTCTCGTGGGCCCTCCCGTTCAGTCTCGCCTGCGAGAGGATGGTCTGCATGCCGGTGTCGTACCTGAAGCTTCAGGATTTAAAGGCATTTACGGGGCATTTCGGGTTCTGAGTCTTGAGTTTAGAAGGATTTGGTAGAGTTCAGAGTTTGTTGTTCAGGGTTGGGTTCTGCGCCTTTATTCAGGAGTCAGACCCCTTCGGTGAAAAGCTTTAGGAGTCTTTAGGGTTTAAGGACTGAGGGTTGAGGAGGATTTTAGGGTTGGGTAAATGTCAAAGTTTAAGGTGTCAGTGACAGGTTCGTGCTTTCCACGTAAGCCCTGTCCCGAGGTGCAGCTCGAAGCCATCCGTGACCTTCGGCAGGTCTGTCGCGAAGGTATTGCCCGTGTGCGCACTGACCACCGAGTTATACCTTCGTGCAGGGTTTTGAAGTGTTCGGCAGCCCGGATTTGAGGACTTCTTTGCTGGAGACAGAGACAAGGCGAGAGAGGGTCGAGAGTCGTGGAGAGCTACGGGCCGCCGGGGCACATGTAGTTGTCCCCCAGCATGGTGACCGCGCGAGAGATGTCGTGCGCCTCAAAGCCTCGGTGTCAGAATTTAAAGCCCTGACAAAACGAAAGCTTCCCCGACCTGGAGCCAAGGTGCCTTCCAAGCCCAGACCCGGCCAGCGGCCGCCGGAACCTGAGCTTGGCTCGTTGCAGCCTCCAGAGAAAAAGCTCTTCTTCACACGCCAAGTCGCCCCAGAAAAGGACGCCCTTCCGGCAAGCGAAAACCTGCCAGGAGAAGAACACAAAGACCGATGCCTCAACCCGTCTGCGCTATTCCTGCTTTGGAACCCGCCAAAGCCGTCTGCGTGCAGCGCGAAGTGGCCTTGGTGTTTGTCCAGATGAAGCGGCCCTCCTTCCGCGTTGTTGTCCGTCCACTGGTGTAGCGGTACTCATGGGAGCCCTTGTTGTCCTCCTCAGTCAATGCTGGCACACTTGCAACTGCAAGCCCGCATGGCTTGCTCGCCGAGGCTTGCTTCGGGAGAAGCGGCAGATGGGCTTACTCACAAACAGCAAGCAAGGCTGAGGGTCCCAGAGCTCGCCGCCGACATACATGCAGCCGCCGCGGCTCCACAGCCGCCCTGCCCGAGAGGTAACGTGCCACAAACGGCTGCTGACTCAATGGGAACAAGCTGCAAGTCACATCTGTAAGTACGGCGCAACTTCTTTCATTTCAAAGTCGTGCTTTTAGCAACATAAAAGCAATCACTCAGTCGACTCCCATCCGCCTGATGAGTGCGCAGTGTTGGAATCAAACTCGCCCAGTTCCACCTCATCCGGGTGGTAGTCCTGCATAGAATGCAGGAATCACATCGGCTCGGCAGCTCCTTGTCGCCGCAGCTTCCGCCTGGTTCTGTGCATAGGTGTCGCCAAGGACATAGGGCACACGAGGAAAATGGAAGCCAGCAAAGCCACCGCCTGGAAGAGTTCGCGGTGTCAGTTTTGCGGATAGGGAGGTTTAAACTTGTGGTCTTGCAGCACAACTTGTGTTTGCTTGCAGCTAACTTCGCACGACCCCTTCTTGAGGATGGTCCACCAGCTTCGTAAAGAGTGAACATGGCAAACATGTACATCACCGGCACACTAAAAAGACTGCCCCTGAGTATGTTTGCATGCAAGGCACTCGCAGAGTTTCCGATCCATCGGTTTTTTCGCATTGGTGCAGTAGAACCTGAGGCAAGCTCGCCGGTCGAGCAGACGAGGTACGGTTGGTTCTTGGGTGCCGCTTCCTTGAGTCACCCACAGCTTCGTGCAAGCGAGCAGCCCGACAGCTGTGGCATCTGTGGGCACGAGGCGGCTCGGCTGCGTGTTGATCCGCACACCGCCCTGGCCACCGCCCTGAGTTCAGCGGACGGTTTTGTTCACGAGGTCCCTCGAGCCGAGACGAGCCGAGGAACTCCGTAGTCGTTGAGCTTGTCGATGATGAGGATGAAAGCTGCGAGGTTGAACTCGAAGAGGTTGTCCTCTTCCTGCGACACTTCCGACTAAACGACGATTCAAGGCCATGGTGCAGCACCAACAAAGCCCTGATTTGCTGATGCCAAGTCTCAATGCCATCTTCAAGATAGTAGGCGCTTCCCGAAATGTCGTAAGCCACATTGCGGGACACTCTCGAGTTCGAGGTGCCGTGCACCTGGGACGGCAAGGGCGATTGCTTTCCGCAGTTCGGCACTCGGATCGCAACGCAAGACCTTGATCACGACAGCTAGTACTGCCGTACCCTTGTGGCCCATAACTATAAGCTGAGCTGTGTACACACTCGTGCACACCTAGCAGCATCATCACTGGAAGGTTGGATTATGGGCATTACTGCCCTGGTCTTGCCGGCCTGACTTC